AAAAAAAAAAAAAATTAGAGCAAATAACTTTACATTGAATGAAAAAGAAATGAATATTATCCACATTAATCTATCATAATAACCTCTTCCAATTATTTTCCATTACAATTTTATACTAAATTTTTATATGATCTAATTTGATACACCAAACGTAAGCCACAAGTATGTGCTAGTTTTCCTAACAACGAATCATGGCTAAAAGTAAAGAACAATGAGAATACTGTCCATTCATTTCAAAAGGACCAGATAATCACATATCAAATATTTAGTTGTATATACATGGAATCTCCATTACCTGGATCATGGGTGTTTTGGCTAGTGTTGCCTACAGCATTGACCTGGGTAGAATTGTCAGTGGGATTCCGCGGTGTTGTCTCCATTGACAACATCTTCAAAGATATTTTTCTCAAGTAATCTGACTGCAAGAACACATTGCTGACTGAAAATATAATCACAGAAAATTTGTATTGCTAGGAGCTAACAGTTAACATCAATGCAAGACACTATCATGTGAAAGGAATAGTTCGAAATGTAAAAAAATCAAGAGAAGCTTGAGTGATGGATGTACCTGACTTATTGCACTAGCAAAAGTTTTTTCCTCGAACCTTATGGCTATTTTCTTGATTTCCCGCAGCCCCTCCTCTCCAGAGAAAGGAAGATGCCTCTTCAAGGTCTCCGTTCTATACACGCGAAGCATCATAATCTTAATTCTGCAATCATGCAAAAAGCACTAACAATAAGATCTGTAGCAAAACTAATCTATCAGACAATCAAGCACAAGAAGTTTTGATTGGATCGGATAGTAAATTTATAGGGTGACATAAGTTTTAGGTCCATTGAAAAGCTGAGCATTAGATGTAACTAGTAATCAGATAAACAAATAAGCTTAATATATGTTGCTTTAATAATTCACCATTCTTAGTTTTTTCTTAGGAAAAAAAAATATTCTCCATAATTACTCAAGGGGAAAAACTTCTGTAAATATACACATAAAATCCCATGTCGTGAAATATTCCTGAAATTTAGCCCAAAAATCATTCTATAAAGCAAGTTTTGGTACTCAATTCCGTGAGGTTTTGATGTTCAAGATATTGAATCCTGCATATAGCAAATTTCTTTCATGCCAATACACAAATTTCAGGCAAGTTAACATTAACTAATAACAATATGCAGCGCAAAAGTGAAATTCAAAAATCAAAGCAAAGCATAAGTACATCTTATTTACAATCCTCTGTCTGGAATCCTCATCTAGCCCAGTCCTCCAATCGGCTACATCAGCATCACCACCAATATCCTGAAGCTGGTCCCAGATTCCACTCATATCCATAGTTTCTTACCTGATCATCGGAAAACCATAAAACCTTTTAATTGCTAAAAAACTCGGCAAATTCTTTTGGAAAAAAGGATATAAAATATTGATTTTTTTTTTTCCAAAATGAAAAATTCCGTAACTGAGGAAGAAAGTGGTTGATTATCCTACACTTCTATTTTCGGGAAACAATACGGATTATAGACCTTCGCCGAAACCTAGAAATGAAGTTTGTTTAATACACTGTACAAAAGGGGACAGAGCAAAAATTATATTTTTAATTTTATTTTACATGTTAATCACAACTGTATTATCTCTAAATATACATTATACATAGTACATAATAATGTTATTAATCATAACTATTATCTCTAAAGATACGTTTTATTTTTTAACTTTATTTTACAATTTGACAGGTGACACCGAGATAGGGTCAATTTTTTTCGGTTCCTTGGGTAATCTCCAATTTTGAACTAAATTTTGCGCCAAATCTTGCACCAAACTAAAATTCTTCTTCAATCATTACACCAAAAATTACACCAAATGAACAGTGTTTAACCATTTCCTTCTCCTTTTTTTATTCTTTATAATTTATTTATTTGAAATATTATTTATTTAATTATTTCATAAATATATAAATTACTAAATAAATAATTATATTAAATTACGAAAAAGATTAAATTCATCAATAATTATATAAAAAACATAGAATAATTAATAAAAATACTACAACAACAAAAATATGAAATCATGCCATCAGAAAATAGTACAATGCATTTCAAATTTGGATAGACTATATTACGAAGTCGCTAAATTTTTGCAATTTAATTCTCAGAATTCATATTTTCATTCCACAAATAATAGATTAATACATTTCGAAGTGCAATGTGAGTTTATTTATCCTTGACTTGTCTATGACGAGCAAGAATTCCTAAAAATGTCGATTTTCGTCTTTAATCAACTCAACTTTCGGACTTGACGCTTCCGTCCATTCTTGAACTGGTGCATCAACATTACGTTCGTTTTTGATAATCATGTTATGCATTATTATGCATGTAGTCATGATATCATGTAATACTTATTTTTCCCAAAATCTTGCGAGTTCTTTCGTTATTACAAACTTCGATTGTAGAACATCAAATGCACGTTCAACATCTTTTTTACACGCTTCTTGTTTCATAGCAAATTACTTTTTTTTAGGACCATGGGGCTTATAAAAATAAAATTAGATTATCGTATGTATGTCGCTATTTAATATATTTCGTATTAACTGTAATAAATAATCGTGTTTGATGTATTTTAAATTGTTTTTTGTTTTTTAATTAATTTATTAATTATTATGTCTTACATTTAAAATTAATTTTAAATGCAACTAATAATAATATTAATAAAAATAATAATAATAATAATTTATTGTATTAAAAAACATCTAGCACAAATGACATAAATACCCTTAACAAATTTATTTAAGAAACGTTAAATAAGGGCAAAATAAACATTTTATACTTTGCATCATTTTGCAACAAAATGGTGCAAAGTTTGGTATTGCATTGGAGTAACTTTGCACCAAAAAATGGTGCAAGAGCATCTCCAACCATTGCACTAAATTGCACCAAAATTTGGTGCAAAAAATGGTGTAATTCCATTTTGCCCTTATTTTTCATTTTTCAAAGATAATGGTTAAGGGTATTTGTGTCATTTTCGTTCTATAATAAAAATGATAATGATGATAATGATGATAATTACTTAATTAATTACACTAGTAATTATATTATTAAAGTTTATTATTTTTAATAATATAATCAATAATAATTAACGTAATTGTTCATTTAACGTAAAGTTTAATTCGTAAAGTTTAAGTTTAAAGTTTAATTTAATGTAAAGTTTATATTATTAAAATTTATTATTTTTGTAAATTTAACGTAATTGTTTATCATAAATTAATAATATAATCAATTATTTTTGTCAATTTAACATAATATATAATACATGTGATAATTTAGTAATCAATATATTTGTTAATTTAACGAAATTATGATTTAGTAATTTATATAGTTATAAAATAAATAAATAAATATTTTTTTAAAATAAATATATTGGCAAAAATCAAAAGAATGAATGAAATAATAAAGTACTGTTCATTTGGTATAAATTTTAGTATAATGGTTGGAAAATAATTTTGGTTTGATACAAGATTTAATGCAAAATTTGGTGCAGGATTGGAGATGACTTTAGGTCATTTCCAACTTCGCACCAAATCTTGCACCTAATTACAAATCATCTTCAATCATTACATCAAAATTTATATCAAATAAATAGTATTTAATTATTTTCTCTCTTTTTTTATTCTAAATAATTTATTTATTTATTTATTTTATTAATACATAAATTACAAAATAAATAATTACGTTAAATTAATGAAAATATTAAATTCATTAGTAAGTATAGAAAACATAGTACAATTAGTCAAAAAACATTAAATATCGTGTTTGTTATATAAATTTTTTTGTATTCTTATTTTAATTAATTCATTAATTATTATTTCTTACATTTGAAAAATTATTTATTTATTTATTTTGAAAATACATAAATTACTAAATAAATAATTACGTTAAATTAATGAAAATATTAAATTCATTAACAAATATAGAAAACTTAGTACAATTAGTAGAAACACTAAATAATCATGCTTGTTACATTAAATAATCATGTTCGTTATATTAATTTTTTTATATTCTTGTTTTAATTCATTAATTATTATTATTATTTCTTACATTTAAATTTAATAATAATTATTATTATAATAATTATAATTATTATTGTTGTTGTTGTTGTTGTAATAAAAAAATATATAACATAAACTATCCAAATACATTTTATCAATCACTTTGGCAAATGAAAAAAAGGGCAAATATGACTTGCACCATTTACAAGCAACGCTATTCAAGCAAACTTTGGTGCCACATTGGAGTGCTTTTGCACCAAATTTAAGTGAAATTTGGTGTTTTGGTAGCACCATTGGAGATGGGCTTAGTTCATTTGTGACAGCAATGTTCTTAAGGCACTATGTTTGCATGACTCGCAACATAATGATAAAATGTCCAATGTTTGGTTTCAATTCTTTTACAATAAATTTTGTAAACATATAATTTTGAAAGAATGCATGGTAACAAAAAAATTTATGAAGTCATGTATAAATTTATTTTATTAAAGTAACGAATGTTTGAAAATGAATTTTAAAACGAATGAGGTTTTAAAATTAGGACTAAATATGCTCTTAAAGTAGTTTTATGTTTTATGTTTTCGAATTAGTGAAAGGTAGTTGAAACAATTAAGAAATGACCTCTGGACTTTCTTAGTGGTGTAAGGTGGCTTTTGGTCTGGTAAACAAATGAATATTTGCAAAAAGAGGTTGTGGCTGTAATACTCTAATCAATTCAAAAGAAAAGTCAAACTTAAAAAAAATCAAAAATCAAAAGATAAAAACAAAAATGACAGCCGGTGGATGCCAAAACAAATTATTCCAATTGAGTGTGTGTGTGTGTGTTGTGGCTGTAATACTTTAATTAATTTAAAAGAAAAGTCAAACTTAAAAAAATCAAAAATCAAAAGATAAAAACAAAAATGACAGGCGGTGGATGCCAAAACAAATTATTCCAATTGAGTGTGTGTGTGTGTGTTGTGGCTGTAATACTTTAATTAATTTAAAAGAAAAGTCAAACTTAAAAAAATCAAAAATCAAAAGATAAAAACAAAAATGACAGGCGGTGGATGCCAAAACAAATTATTCCAATTGAATGTGTGACCAAAACCAAATTAAAAGAAAAACACACATTACATACACGAAAGAAAACGAGACAGAGAGAGAAAAAAAGAGAAGAAAAAAAAGGGAAAAGAAGAAGGAAAAAAAAGGAAAAATTTGTCAACGTGTTAGGAATTAAGTGGATTATACTATTAGGCTTAAATTCCTCAATTTTGAAAAGTAAGTAAAAAGTTACTTATTATTAAGTTATGTTTGATTTTATAGTTGTTAGATTGTTAGGTTAAATTTAATTTTATTGAAGGGATTAAGTGTAATAAACTATGAAATTGAGTAAAATGAAAGAAAAATTAATTTTAGCAATTAAAGACACTTTAGAAATCGTCTAAACGTGAAATAATTATGTTTGGGTATCGCGTATTTAATTATTAAAGTTACTTAAATTAGTTAATTGTTGATTTAAAAATTATATTATATTTCAGGTGGCGATACGGATATCAGGACAGCGTACCAATCGAACTGATTTTGGCGTACATAGTTCTGTGAGTGGAAAAATATAAATATTTTTAAAATATTTATAAATTAATTATATTGTTAAATTATGTACAATTATATGAAATTATGTGTTTGAATTACATGGTTATTATGGAACTCTCTTTTATTATAATACATGTGGAATATCAAAGATTATTTATGACATATTTGTGACTTGGCATGTAAGATATGTGATATTAAGATTTATTTGGTATGTGAGACATGCAATATTGAGATCGACCAGAAAAGTACCCATAATTATATAGTTCTTCTAGTTCAAGAAGGGGCCTTGGTCGTGTTCTATCCTACACGGAGGATCTTGACCTGGCATTGCTCTTGATCGTGTACATATAATTCACAGAGGGGTTTTGACCGTATTCTAAAATTGATTATGAGAGGTCTTTGAGACCAGCTTTCGTTCACGGAGAGGGCCAAAGGCCTGTGGCGAAAGTTCTTAACCCGAGTGATAGATTATATATTTCAGTCAGAGGGTACATTTTTTGTGAATTTTTCAGTACGTTTGATGTGATGAGATTATAGCATGATTATTAGCTGATGTCTATATCAATATTTTAAGATAATGTTTTATGACCTTATGTGAATATTTCACTTTTTGGCTATAATTACATAATGTTATCTTGCGAGTTATCAATGATATGGATTTGAATTTCAATAAAAATGTATAAATGAAAAAGTATATTTATTTTGAACTTCTCCACTCACTGAGCTATCAACTCATATATTTT